GTAAAACATTAAAACAAAAAGGCGACGGTATGCAGTCTCTCTGATTGTTCTTCTTTCGATGATACTGTTTGCTTTTGCTATTTGTTCTACTCGTGAAAATTCTGTTTTAACGTTTCACAAAAAGCAAACCCTAGGGTTAATTAAATGCTGAACTTCTGCTATCATGCTACTTCCATACTAACCAACATAAGCTTTCACAATATATCTGTCATTATAGAAATTTTGCATTAGCATGTTGATCATATCACAATGAACACCAACTTCAGTAAGTTAAACAGTTGCAAACAATGCTTCATTAAATTACCACATGTTATTATATCAGTTATTTGTGCTTCCATATTTTCGCCTGACACATTTTTAGCTACTAGTATTAAAGCAGTTTTGTCTTGAGCACGCTTCAGTCGTTCCTGAAATCGTCTGGGTATGTAACCCTACTTGATAGTATAATATGCAATCAAAAGTAGATGGTACAGTGTTTGTTTTGTTAAAACATAAATATTTGTATACTACAAGACTATCAGATTTTTCTTCCACTGTTCTAACCATCTCTTCTAGAGCTGTTTTTCTTCTAGATTTAGTAATCTTTACTCCAGTATCGTTTGTTTATTTTGACATTTTCCTTTTAAGTTTTACTTACCATTTACAAAACATTTATCAGTGTGACAAATAAACATACTCCATGAATTTTTCTGTTTAACGTAAATAACTCGAGAAATTTTGCGTAGCCATTATTCATACAACACTGAATATTTTAGGAAAGGAAAAAAAGTGACGTTTTATCCCTTGTAACCACTTTAAGAACCAGGAACAACGCAGATTTAAACCGTAAAATAAGGTTTGATGGCACAAAAAGTTAGGTAAAATTACTACAAAAGGGAATGTAACTAAGACTGCATCAAGCTGACTAACACTTCATTAAGTTTCTATTCTGGTAACTGTAAATGTGAGTAAACCTCTAAACGACAATAGCGACATCAGTGTGGCAAAATGGCATTAGGCAACTTTCGTACAGATGACTGTATAGAAGCTGAGCCAGTAAATTTACTATCTGCCCACTATGTTTGTTCCCTGAGACCCAAGTTTGCAGCATCCACTAAGTCCACGACGACACTGTTTGCCGTCTTTACTGTTCTATAACGACGACGGTCAGTGTTTGCTTTTTTCGGTGTCTCGTAACGACGACGATTAGTGTTTGCTTTCTCATTTTACTGTCGAGCATCTTGGTAGAACAATGTTATTTATAATGACAACAGAATTAACTTGTTAAATATCTACGTGATAAAGTATACCGTTTTTACGCTGATGAACATGATGCTGTTGCTAGGTTTTTCTTTAGCTACACTGGTCTTCAGTCTCACCTCTGGTGATTTTTCTTTGGCTAACGATAAAATTACCTGCAAGCCTGAAGACTGTTACGATATCCGGCGTCAGGGGTTTTATGAGAGCGGTGTGTACATTATCTGGCCTCGCTACTTTAATCGACCTGTCCAGGCTTACTGTGACATGATTACCGAAGGAGGAGGGTGGACTGTAAGGATTTAAGAAATTTTTTTTTATAGTTTAAAAGACTCACATTGAATTCGAGGATATTTCCTTTATTCCTTTAGAGACACCCCGAACAACAAAACAGGTCTAATTGATAAAACAAGATCAAAGAAATGTAATGTTTATGAAGTTTTATCTTTTGGAATTGTTTATCACTAATATATCAGTTCCATAAGTATTTACGGTAAGATTGTGAGGATAACATCTCAGTCTCTGCCATGATTAGTAGCCTGTACGATTATCTAAGTCTGATTATTAAGAAATAACACATTTTTATTATGTTTCCCTGTGCGAAACTAACAGCAAGAACCAGGTCTAGACACGTATAGATATTATTTTTCTAAAAAGAATGAGAAAGTTATTACCAGCCGATGGAATATAAGAAATCCCGAACTTTTCCGTAAGTTGTAGGAATTGTTCGAAAACTATAACGTAGTTTTTGCAACTTTGTTTAGGTTCTCCAGAGGAGAGATGACATTGAGCCCAGAAAGGATTTCTACTTAACCTGGGAATACTATAAACACGGGTTTGGAAACATAACACAAGAATTTTGGATAGGTACATAAGAAAATTGCTATACTTGTATTTGTGGTAAAAGTTCAAGCTCGTTGTTTTTTTCAACACTGTAATAGATAGTCTTCGTTTTTTTTTTAAACTGATTAAAATGTTAAATCTACCATCTGACTGGTTTACTTTTAAACAGTATGTTCAGTTTTGAATATAACATTAAAATGAATACATGGAAAAATGTACAGAAATTATTTAAGATATAAATTGAAAAATTATAAGATAAAATACTCTTACAAATAAGTTTGTGAATTTTAATGTATTTTAGTTTAAGGTGTTTTAAATTTTACAATTAAACATTTATGTCTCTCTTTAGACATTTTAAAATATTTCACAAAATATAAAAATATAACGTAATAGAATGTTAGGTCTAAAAAATTTGGATAAATATCACCTGAACTTTTCATTCCTGCATTTCTCTCAATTTGTTTGCTTCGTATTCAAAATCGTAAATAGAATTTAAGATATATCTTTTGTTTCTCACAAGTCACTGTCCAAGTGGCCTTTTGTTCAATATCAGAACATTTCAGTTGAGCTGGACAAAGAGAGACAAATTCTGAAACGCTATTTATATAAACAGTTCAATACTCTAAAAGTTAGAGTTTTAACTTGAAAATCTTAAGAAACATTAGAAACCAATAGGCCTAAAATTTAAACTAAAAAATACTGCAGATGTTTTTTTTTTCACTTTCCTCTTAATTGGATCATTTTGGATTCCAAATCATAGGTGTGTACGAATAGCATTTCAAATCCATCTTTTGTTTCTCACAAGTCTCTGTCGAAAAGCCCTTTCTTTCAGTACAATAATTTATCAGTAGGCCTGGATGGTGAGTGACAAAAAGTTTACGTGATATTTATCATCTTTATCATACATTTTAAGCTTATTAGCTTCTAGTGATTCGCCGGATTTCGGCGTTTAAACTTGATAAAATATTGTTTTAAGTTTCGTAATTCTTGTTTACAGGTAACGAACTATTTTTTGCATTAACAAATAAAGGAGATATGACTCTTCGAGTAGACATGGAAGCATTTGATGGGGAGAAAAAATATTCCAGGTATTCAAAATTTCTTGTGAGGAGCGAAAGAGAGCTATACAAAATGACAATCGGCTCTTATCAAGGAAATGCAGGTAAAATTATTTAAGATCTTATAATTCTTAAAACTACTTTACAAACTACATCGAGTTTCACCAGAAAGCAGTTCATTACTTACAGTATTTCTAGGTATTGTTCGTTTACCACGTATACAGGAAGTATGACTTGTTATATATTAGCTTGTTTTTTTTTATGCGAAGCTGCCTAACAGATTATTTGCACAGTGTCAGTCGCGGGGATCTAACTCGAATTCTAGCATTATACGCTCTCAAGCTTCTCCTTGAGGCATCATGCAACCAACCGCGTTGACAATTGAAGTTATTACAAAATCTAGCTCTTAGACAAGAGAAAGTAAAATAATTTTGAAGTCTAACCACTTCATTTGATACTGTCTCCAGTCATGCGTTATATAACGACCGTGTATATTGATAACAGCCCTGCAACGTAATTTCCATTGCGAAAGGCTCCGTTGTAAAGCTGTCATGTTCAAAGTACACCCCTCTCTTTGCTGGTATTTCATAATCAATCATGTGTACGAGGGTGACAGTTTCCCAACGCCTGTTTCAATAGTCCGGTCGTACAGAAATCCACAGGCGCTGTGCTCACCGACTTGTCTGGTATGTCTTCGGATGAAATATCATGAATACGCGTTTCATTATCGATACGCTTAAAATATATGACTCTTGAACGGAAAATATGACTGGAAACTTTATCTAGGTGAATCTATACCCTGTTGCCTTCGTCTCAGACGGAACTACTTTTTGATTATGTTGTGTACTGTTGCTTGGGGCACATGTACGGTTTTTTCCATTGACTTTTATGTTAGTGAATTCTCACTTGTTACAATATGCTACATTTTGCTTGTGACGTCTAGGGTACGACTCGTTGTAGGTATCTTTCTGGAAAGTCTTGGTGTTCGAAACTGATTCATATTTCTTTGCTTCCCAATGCTATTAAGTACAAAGGATATCTCTATTCTTGGAAATTCTAAGTTCCAGATCTGAACACATCTTTACGACCTGGGTGTATGAACATTTTGCCTAAAGGACTGTTACATACCCTTTCCAAAAGCGCTCAATTATTAGTGACATCACTCTACTTACGGAACTTAAAACAAAAAGTCAAAATGTAGTTCTGATACATTACGTTCCACAGCGCCATTATATTGGCTATGGTTTTCACGTGACTTGCAGATTTGCAGATTCAAAATCGTTTTAATATAACATACTCAACCCTCTGTAAAGGTGCCCTTAAATACGCCTAAAAAGTTTTGGTTAGTATAAATAATTACTATTTCATAATCAATTTTTAATTATTCACGAACATGAAATAAAACGGAATAAACTGCTTGTTCATAGTATGGTACGGATTTAAAAAGTTTTGAAAACTAAGTCAGTTTAACTATTGAATACTTTTCATAAATGAATTTCCATTTTCTTTGTATAGTTTGGCTTCAAAACATTAGTAATACTAGCTTCTGACAGCTTCATGTTTGAAAATTATGTATTTAAATAGTGTGAAATAAAACATAATTAACTCAAACTATTAAATTAGTTTGAGAAGAAGCACAAAACTTGATCACCTAGAAACACGTGAAGGTAAGCGCAAGAGACGAATGGAAGACTTACGTGTGTACACTTTGAGGTAGGAGAAAAGGTTTTGCTATTGGCCTGTTCAATGTAATGTACAGATACGGAACATGTACGACAGAATATTCTCTATATTATTACATGAAATATTGTTTTATCCTCTAAAAACATCCATGTTTTTACAAAAGGGTATCTAACCTTAGGCTCCAAAGGAATGAAATATATGAATAGTCATATTGTGAAGGATAAGATACTACATGGCTACATAACAACTCTTTTGGTTCATCTACGAAAAATAAAATAGCAAGTGACACATAATAATTATCTTAGGTAACATATGAAGGGTAGGTTATCACATGGCTGTACAACAGTTCCCTTTGTTCACCTATGAAGGGTAGGTTATCACATGGCTGTACAACAGTTC